TTTGATAAACATCATATAATTCGAACAGTACATAAATTCCTGTCCAAATTAAATGAATCAATCAATTAACAATATAATAAACTGACAACTTATATTAAACAATTAATGCACCAATATTAGAAACGATTTATGCATGATATTTATGTGCATTTTAATCAATTATTGATTATTATTGGTGGAAGTCTGTTAAAATGAATGGTCATTTGACCTTGGCTGTAAATTATTTATATCTTTGTTCAGATGAATCACTGTAATCTTTGAAAATGAATATGTTACTTAATCAATGTACAGTTTTTTACTGTAAATCAAATGAATGCAATAATGCTAGTGAGATGAACAACAAAAAAACCATCAACCAATATAATAGTCATCTGCAGAAATATGAAGTAACCTGTTCCGTGAAATGACTCTTAAAAGACATAGTTATTTAACTGGTTCAATATTCGGTATATTAGCCAAAGGAACTGGAACCAACACTTTCATTTAGCTAGAATATTACGCTTGTTTATCTTACATCAATGATAATCCTGTAAGAATGGAAGCGTTAGAGCAACAGCTTGATTATCTTAATTTACAGAACATCTAACAACTTAATTCACTATGAAAAGAACAGGTCAATCACGGTTTTTCGGGCAAAAAATTGATCATTGATTCTTCACGCAAATCCTTATTTAAAATCGGTTTCTTTATTGAAGTATAGGTCACAAAAAGTACTCCGCACTTATAGCAGTATGAAATACATTTCAGTTGGAGCATTCAAACTTTTATGCTCAAGTCAGTGTAATCTTCGTAGGAACTCATTACCACTGGCCGGAATCAGTCATATTAAATAGTATACTTAGAATGATAAAAATAGAGAGTTGAAGACCGGTACAACTTTATAATTATATTAAATTACTTTTACAATATTTATGAAGCTAGATCACTAGGTTCCTGATAACTTTATGGTTTTACCACTTTGCCTGCTCTGATACCGTCCAGAATGACAATGAACCATTTATTCTATCTTCCGAGTTCTTGCGTCGATTTGCCTAATTCTTTATAGATTACGAATTCATATTAGCTGATAGTATGTGTTATAATCTCTTTCTTACGGTTATGACCCAGCTATTCCTATTGCTTAGTATTCTCGGACACTGATTTACTCGACAAGTCCCCAAATCAGAACACGGTTGAACAGGAAAGAGATTATATTCCAAACAATAAGGTTAGATGGAAGTAAGATGCACAATAGAGAAAACGTTAGTATATTTATAGTTTTTACATGAGAAGATTCTAGAGTATTCTCCAACTATCGACTAGTGCTGATTGCATAAGAATCAGCCAATCAGCGTGCACCAAAGCAATCGTGCATTGAGCATGCTTTAATCCAGTCTATGTCCCGCTAACAGTATGGTTGGAATTGAATATGAGTCAATTTTATCAGTTATGAAACTGATTCAACTGCGAAAAATGCTTAGATTATTAAACACAATCATCTATAAACACCAGTAGTGACAATTCATTATAATCTTGATGATCAAGTGTTAAAAAAAAGAAATTAAAATTACGCAAAACTGATATCCTGATCATAATATACAAACTATAAACTCATTATTTTCTTCAATTTTAGAAGGAACAATTTCCTTACTTAATTATACATCCGATGTATAACATTCAGAAAATACTATTAACTTTGACCCATAAACTTTACACAAATACATTAGTATACATATAAAAAGTATAACTGATACTTTTTCAATGCTTGTCCGTTCGTTTTAATCAAGAACAGTAAATACAAATAAATATTGTAATATATTGAAATTATATAACAAATAATAAATCATTTTCATTATGTAAATAAATGGTCTTTTTTCATAAATAGATATTTTAAAAAAAAAAACAGTGAAAGGCATCAGCAGAATAGATTATTAACTAACAAAACAAAATCATCGGTTCAATTAAATTCCATAGAAAAGACGGAAATATATACTAAATCATAGCATGCATACCATTAATAATAATAATAATAATAATAATAATAATAATAATAATAATAATAATAATAATAATACAGAATAGTCTATACATGAAATAAAGATTAGTCGATTTGCTTTGTTCTCCTTAAATATCATCCTCACTAACCGACACCATCATCATCATAACAGATTAACAACAGAACAAAAATGCACTAGAACTATTAATAAAATAACCATTTGTTAAATAATCGTCGACTAATTATTCCGTAATTATCTCTAACAATGGACATATACTGTGATACTCATATAAATATACTTTTATGTAACGAATGAATTTGAATTATTGAGCAATAAATTGTTAATTTTAATAATCATATAAAAATCATTGAATTGAAAGGAAAAAAAAATTATAAAATAAATTTGTTAAAAAAAAGCACGAAATAACCAAAGAAAAGTATTGTTGTGCTTGAGTTTTCCTGCCATCAGCAGAAATTGACGCATTCAATAGTCTGAGATTCACATTCATCGAGGACAACAACTTTGTAATAAAAAAAAATTAGTGAAAGAGACAGAAAAAAATAGAACAGTAGATATCATTCTTTCGACAGCACTTACCGTTCACACTCACTCATCTACATGTTCATCCAGTTTTACTTTTTTTTATACAAAAAATAATACTGAATAAATTGAGATAGTAGTAGCGGCGGGTATTGTTGTGACAGCGGTATTTTCTGTCTCAATACAACTGGATCATGATAATAGATGAGTGAATAACAATAAACAAATTATTTGATTAAAAAGAAAGACATAGATAAACAGAAAAAGAAGTTATCCTTTACAGCATTTCGGTTTATGCTTTGATGTTAATCCGGAGATAGGTGTCAGTTGAACTACGGTCTGTTGAGCTTCTTGTTGTTTTTGTACAGCATTTAATCGTAAACGTAAAGCTTCTCTTGTAATAATGTAAAACATCTGTAAAACAGGGACAAAGTTGAAAAAAGTAAATTTTTCACACGGAACTAATAATTTATTAATTAAAATGAAATTTAATTAAATCCACTAGGTGCTTTGATGTGAGCTAATTTCCAAGTGTGACAGCTAATAACAATATTCGGCTTCCCAAAGCGAAATAGGTGGAACTAAGTTTGACGTATACAAAATGACGTGGAAAACGTTCAAACCATTAAATATTAATTTAATGGCTTAAATGAATTTTGCTTAACACGAAAGCTAGGAGCGTACACCATCGAAGGGTATTAAGCCAAAATGAAACAGATGTTTAATGTTGACTATTTATTTATTCTCCACTCGACATCAAGTCATGATAGTATTCACGTAAACACACTTTTTAAACACAAATGAAATAAATTCGACAAGTTAACAGATAAATGAGTATTTAGTGAACAATAACAACGTGAAAAATTAAGAACACTTCTTTTAAAACGACTTATTTGTAAGAAACGATTTAACCATGTGGTTTACACTAATAAGGGCGCAAGCGAAAGACCGCAGATAATAAGGGCCCGTCGAAAGGGTGAAGATCAATAAAGGTGATCAGTGAAAAATGGAATAACAATTTCAACTGTGTGAAATATGTTCGTTGGGATATAACTTATTAAAAGTGATGTTTTTTGTGTTGTACCTTACATACAGTTGTCTCATTTTGAAAGCAAATCAATTATTTTATTCAAGACAAATAGTTATACATTTATACCATATATTAGTGCATTTTTATAACAAATATCTAGTCGTAATTAAGTCTATGACTTTTACATTTTCAGTCACCTGAAACTGTCTAACAAACTACGGGTTTGTAGGGAATCCAGCACAAGAAAAATTCCCTTCAATAGCTGTTCGAAATAAATGTACGGCATGACACAACTAGGGTAATAACAATTTGTTTCCTAATTCGGGAAATTACAGTATTTATCAATGCTTGTTGAAAATAAACTCTTCGTCATACGTTCATGAAAATACGTTTTTAAACGGTCGTAAGGCAAAGAGACAGAGAGTAAAACGAACATATTTCACACAGTTAAAAATATTATTTCCTTTTACACTGACCACCTTTATTAATATGCGATCTTTTGATAGTCGTCCTTAGTAATCCATGCCTTTTTGATGGTCGAAATTATGAATGGATACCCTCTAGTTCCAAGCTGTTATTTGAACCGTAAATTGTTATTCCCCTTGAATGCTCTGGTACGGCCGAGAGTGGGGAGAGTTCGCTCTCCCTCTTGAAATACTCTCACACGGCCACGCGTATACAGCCTCTGCCAGGGAAGTCCTACTCATTGCCTTCTCGTGGCATTACTGCTGTTTACGAAAATGAGAGGACGAAAAGCGAATGTTCTCTTTTATACTTATACAGCGGCTCGTCTTTGGTGGAAATTCGACTGTATCTAAACGTTCTCGAGTCACTGTCCGGTTGAAAATTGTATGTTACCACCGAATACGAGAACTGAAGCAGTTTTTCTGAAACCACGTGCACCATTTAAACTGGCTGCCTTCAACGTTCGCACACTTATGCAGGTTGGACAACAGATAGGGCTGGCTATGTCTTTAGAAAGTCTTAATATCGATGTTTGCTGTCTATCCGAGACCCGTATTCAAGACTCTGGTGAAGTACTACAAATTCGATCTCCATCTGTCGCTTCGAAAAGCTTGTTTTACGTGCGCTTATCCAGGGACCCTGTGGCATCTTCGTCTGGTCTTGCTGGCGTTGGTGTCGCACTAAGCGCTAGAGCTGAGGCAGCACTAATCGATTGGATCCCCATTAACAGTCGGTTATGTGCTGTTAGATTAGAAATTTCCATCAAAGTGAGAAGAAATTGGCGTGAGAAACGATGTCTTTTCGTCATCTCCGCCTATGCTCCGACAGATTGCAGCCCGGATGCAATCAAGGATGAGTTTTACCACCAGTTATCTGTTCTTCTTCAGAAAGTGCGTTCGGCAGTTATTTTAGTACTAGCCGGGGACTTGAATGCTCAGGTCGGGCGTCTAGGCACAGAAGAGAGTCGTTCAGGTGGCCGATGGGAACTCGTTGGTCGCAGGACAGATAACGGGGACCGTCTACTGCAACTGTGCACAGAACACAACCTGTTTCTGGCTAGCACTAACTTTCGGCATAGTCATCGCCAATGTACCACCTGGCGTCCTCCCTCTGCATCCCAAGCCTGGACTCAGATTGATCACATCGCGATCAGCTACCACTGGCGTGGTTGTGTACAAGACTGCCACTCCTTTTGGAGTACCTATCTGGACTCTGACCATGCCTTAGTCTGCGCCAATCTTGCCTTACTTTTCGGTGGACAACGAAGTGACCGTCATCAACGGATTGATGTTAGCAAGCTGGTTGCAACTTCTGTTGCAGGTAAGTATGGAACCGAGGTCGGATCTACAACGCGTCGGTGAGAGCAGTTTTGCTCTATGCTTGTGAAACCTAGTCTCTCCGAGTTGAGGACGTTAGACGACTCTCTGTGTTCGATCATCGCTGTCTCCGAAGGATTGCTGACATTCAGTGGCAACACCATGTCAGTAATGCAGAGGTTCGGCATCGTGTGTTCGGGCACAGAGATGATAATTCAATTGGTGTCACCATCTTGAAACACCGACTTCGGTGGATTGGACATGTTCTCCGAATGTCGTCCCAGAGAATTCCACGTCGTGCATTATTTGCCGACTCTGGGACTGGTTGGAAGAAGCGGAGAGGTGGTCAGTGCATGACATGGTGTCGTGGTATGAAAGAAATCTGCAAAGGACTGGCTTCTGTTGGTCCTTCACGACTCCCTGGTTGGGGTCTGAGAGATGGTGCTACACAGTGGCTAGAGACGTTATCAGATATGGCTCAGAATAGAAGCCAGTGGCGATCCTGCTGTAACCTTCTTTTACTTTCTTCATAAAAAGTGGTTGTGTCTCCTTTACCTGAAAGATTTCTTCTGATTGTACGTTTTCGTTCCGTCGTTACCACCACACTACCTTACTCTAATCTCTTCGTCATTGTTTTCTTTTTCTTTTGCGCTCCTTAGTTTTTTTTCCTTTTTCTACTTCTCTTCGAATTCTCATTGTTTTGTGTGGCGCATATATATTGGCGCTCTCTTGTACCAATATTCATGTGTTCAAATAAATAATAAATAAATATAGCATTTTTCGCTCATAAACTACAACTGATTATTTTTGTACCCAGTACTCCGTTTTTCTCATCATTAATGTTGTTGCTCTGAGTTAATACTGTAACTCAGTAGATCTGCTGAGTGGTCTAGTCTTGTATGCATATAAATGAATGTCTAAAATATAATAACGATCTTGAACTGGTGATTATTGGTTTCGTGTTTTTTCCTTCGTTCGGGGCCAGTCAGTATTCATCCAACGGTCAAGCATAGAGTATGCCTCCCTCGTCCTTGCTAAGTATTGGTTGCTCAAGGTCATCTACCCATATCGGTCGGTTGTAGGACATAACAAATTTTAATTTGGTAAAATTCTGTAAGGAAAGTTTCAGAAACTATCGATCGTACTGTGATATCTGCATATTGTGGTAATTTTTCGTTCAATTTTTGCGCTTGATTCGAATTCGAATACGATGCATTCAAGTGTGCATAGACTTTTTGTTCCTTTCATATCCTGCTTCATTTGTGACTAATACAGTACGTATTTGACAGAGCTGGGAATTACAAGTTCTTATATTACATTCAATATCACTACTATTTCTACTTATCGCACATGCTTTAAATGACACTGAATGGTAAACTTCTCAATGGACAGCAAAATGATCTGCTGTGACATCTTCGAAGAAATAGCATTACACAACAAAGTATAAATAATAGTGATCAGTATGTTTGCGTTTCTATCTACATAATTCAAAATTCGGAACCAGTCAAAGTTGTTACGCTAATCAATAGCACCAAAAAAGTAGTATTGAACAGAAGTAATGATAATAAACAATGTAACTTGTCAATTAACAGCTGACTTGTGCAATCTATTCCACCAACACTCCGATTATCGGTGGAGTGGAATTAAAACACATGCCTCAATGTCATTTTGGAATGTACAAAAAATTCTGAATATAATCAAGTAAAATCGACATATGCATCTACAAAGATACTGTTATCGATTATCTTCAACCTACTACAACAACATATCTCTCTATTAATTTGACAAACACGATGCCGTCGTGTTATTAAATTAAAATATAAACGTGTATGTTTTGACCTTTAGACTGTTTGGCATACCTTTTCAACTTGAACGGTTTTGTCACTTAAAAACAGATTTCACATAACAATTTCAAGTAGTTTGACATGAATTTATTCTTATATCATTACGTGTGGGAAGTTATTCAGAGGATAGTTCTCACGACAAAAACCATCATTAATTCATCACCTTGTGATTATTTCTACTTCTTTTTTGAAAATGGAAAACAAAAGCAAACCTCAAATGTGTAAAAATAACTTAATACAAACATAAATACGTTTTTTTCCTAGAAAAACTAGGAATCTATACAAATTTTAGACAATTCAACTTTTGTTTTTGCCAAACACATGTACCCACTGAATTTATTCACTGTATAGATTGTATCATATGATTAATCAATATAAACTGAGACAATAATGCATTGATTTCATTATGATGAAATACTTATTTTTATGCAATGTACAAAATTATAAACAACAGTTAACTTAAATGTTTTATTGAAAAACATATACAAATTTTCCAAATATTTTTTTAAAATAAAGATGGTATTTGTGAAGAAAATAGAGTATATTTATAATTCGCCATGATGATATCGAAAATACATTTCCGTAAGCTGTACTACTTAGTTAAAAGAGCTGAACATTATATAAACTTCTTAAATCTTAAAATAACCATGGTATTAAAAAAAATTGAGAAATATATAAACCAACCATATCTCATAAAATTTTAAGAAATACGAATTGCAACATTACCTGATCAACATTTTCATCATTTTTAGCAGATGTTTCAATAAAAAGACATGAATTTTTAGCTGCTAAACGTTGAGCATCACAAGTGGCTACAGTTTTTAATTCTTCACTTTCGTTTTTATTACCGACTATTAAAATGTTTTTTTTTAAAAAAAACGAAGGGAATAATTACAAAAGAACGCATTGTACAGTTATTTATAGATTTTTAATGTGAAAAACGAGTTGCATAAAATTATTGCATACAAGTTCAATCAAGTATAAAGAAATAAAAATAAACTGTAGTGAACATATTCTGCCATTTAGAGATATTTTCAAGTTGTACGTATATCACATTTCCTTAATAATAAAGATATATTAATGCAACAAGTGACAATGATTACGTAATGCGAAAGTAAACCATGAATTCAGTATTTAGATAAAAGGCATAAGCGTCAATAGATTTGGTGACGAAATGAAAAAATAACATGAATGGAGAAAGTCAAAGCGAAGATGAACGATGACGTTGGTTAGACTATTGCATTGGAGGGAACTCAACCAATCTGACAATATGAAATAGGTTGTTGAAGACTTTTTATATGAGTTCACGTAAAAATAAAACAAAGTATAGATGAATATCTTTTGAAATTTTAGGTTTAAAATATTAAACGTTTTATGGTTTTCAAAATTTGAAAATATTCTTGATAAATTTATATTTTACTTAAATATAGTCTTATTTTCTATTAGTCTCGTTACCTATGGCTAAATGTTGTATATGATGTGGCTATACCGACTTCAATAAACCAAATGTTGCTAGAGTATCCCACAAGGGTGGTTGTAGTAAATAATTCCACAACAGAAATCCTTTGGTCACAAACAATGTAGGACATATAGCGAATATGCATGGATCGAAGTTGCTATATTTCATGTTAGCGCATTGAGAGGAAGGTAACAGAGTGAGAATTAAATAAGTTAAACCAGTAGTGCTTATTATATTTAAAAAATTACGCAGGGAATATAGTTCTGCAAGAACGAACGCAATGGAGAGGCATAAAACGAAGTAGTCCTGAAACTTAAGACTTTAAAAGGAGTAAAAAATGGAGATATATGCACCACAATGACTAATTTGGACCTATATCACCTGAAATCTTTAAATACTAAATGCGGTTTTAGCATGGATCATAACTAAGTTTCTACCACTCAACAAAACTTAGTCGGACATTCAATGGCCTAATGAACTGATAATTTGTTTACACTTGGCCAGCTCCGTCTTTTCTCCAATACTAGCCATTGTCCCACTCTATATTAGGTGGTGGATGACACATGTGTACAGTGGCCAAAGTGTTCAGTTCCTTTTCCTCTTATGGTCAAATCAGGCATTGATGCAAACTGGTCCTTAAGCAACAATTTTAATCCTGAAGAAAAGGAATCCATCCGAAAACTGTTTTCGATTCAACTCAGTCGAATGATTCTGAATGTTGTCAGCTTCTTCATCAAAAAGAACTGTAACGTTTACGGCCTCCGATTCCATGGGACCAACCGCCGAAATTTCAGACGACGAGTCATCTCTAGAAGCATATCTGTCATAAAAGTTTACTGAAAAGATATGGACATTTACAGTTTTAATAATCACAGAAGACCTGACCAACTGATCTATGATTAAGTCTTAGAGTCGATAACAAGGTTCAACTAACACTAGTGAAGCATCTGTTTACTCATCAATGACTAAGTTAACAACGTAGAAATCTATCCTGTCCTATGACAGAGGTGTAAAACATGGTCGCCGAATACAAACAACATAAGGTAGGTAGCAAAGATGGCTATTAATTTATTATTGTCACGAACATTTCATCTTCATGATAGGTTAATAAAGATTAGAAAGCTAACAAATCTGTATATAATTTATATCCGTCAGTTTACCAGTGAAGAAGCTGTAATACTGTCCCTAAACTGTAAGAAACGACTAGAAAATGAATTAGACTATGATGTAAATGACTAGAAAAGCACTCCTCACCTAGTATTCGTGCTACTCCTTCATCAGCGTAAGTTTGTGCCTCTTTTACCCATTTTTCTACATTACAAAATGTTTTCACATCATTGACATCATATACAATGATAATTCCATGAGCACCACGATAATATCTGATAATTTTTATCAAAATATTAATTATAAATAAAATTATACGTTGATGTTATAGTACGAAATCTCTCCTGTCCAGCTGTATCCCAAATTTGTAGCTTTACTCTTGTATTGCCAATCATGACTGTTTTTACTTTAAAGTCTACTCCGATTGTACTCATATAGGTATCACTGAAACCGTCATCGATGTACCGGAAGAGAAGGCTGCTTTTCCCAACATCTACAGAAAAACAAGTGAAACTGTATCAGACGAACTGAATAATTTGGTTGGGGAGAAAACGTCGAGGTGAATCCTCATCAATGTGAGTAGTTATTAAGAACCATTATCCATGCATCCACATTGCATTTAACCCAAACAAATCTACCGAAATTCGAAGTTACTTTGAATTCCTTCGGTACGGGTGCTCGAGCAGCATCCCAGTCTACACATAAATTCTATTTTGTGTAAGTCATACAAGCCTTTTTCTCCAGTTGTACCACATTTGATGCCAATTAAATAAATAAACAAAAATATGTAGCTATTTACACTAGATTGTTTTACCTAAAAAGAATCGACAACATAAGAAGCTCTATCCCAAGTCCCATCGAATGAAAGTTAATTTTACAACTGCAAATTTTGTTAGTTAAAACTGTAATACGAAAATCCAAAAAAAATCTAAAGAACAATATCGAAGGAGCATTAATATAATTTAATGAAAAAATTGCATAAACAGACTGAATACTGACCGATTTGTTGCGCTACTTTCTGAAATCTGAAATAATACCATATATTTTTATATGGTGAGTACACGCAGAATCAAACCAACATACTACTCTGCTTGTAGCCCTTCCAAAGTTATTGAAGGTCCCAAGATCGGATAAACTAGGAATGCCGGGCACGAGGTCAGCAACCCCAACCGATAAGAAACAACCTTGCTGAAAAGACGCTAACCAGAAAAAGTCACTTAATCTCTGCCGCACTAGTTCAAAAATACTCATTTAGAAGAGTCATGACGCCTCATGGTGAAAGCTAATATTCTTCGAAAGTCACGAGGCAATACCCCTTCTAAAACCCAGACCAATAATTAACACAGGTAAATGGAATGTCTGGACAATGTGAGAGACCGGGAGGACCAGTCGTATCGCTGTGGAAATGAGGAGATACAACTTGGTAATGGTGGAAAATAAGTGAGACCCATTGGACCCAAACTGGATAGTAGTGATAGGCTTCGACAGAGATACCGTTGTACTCTGGTCATAAAGAAGAAAATGCTTTGTACATACAAGGAGTTGCACGGATGCTGTCCATAGAAGCACGAGAAGCACTTATAGCATTGGAATATCATGGGTCCAGAGTAATCAAACCATTATTCTAAACAAAGAAAGAGGGAATCACAATCAATGTTATCCACTGTCATGCACCCACAGATGGTAGCAATGGACACGATAACCAGTTTTATGAGAGATGGCAGTCGATTGTAGAGAGGTGACCGGAAATGACTTGACCGTCAACATCATGGGAGACCTAGATGCCAAAGTCCGGATGGACATCACTGGTTATCAAAATATCACGGGACGACATGGACTGACTGAGAGGAACGAGCGAGAATGGTGAAGGATTTGCGAATTCGCGACCATTCAACAAAATGTCCATAGGTGTCGCCATATTCCCCCACAAACCGATACACGATACTAAATGAGTTTCACCGAATCACTCTACAGAAAACCAGATAGATCATATTCGTATCAATAAAAAATTCAGATCTATGGAAGACGTGAGAACATTGGGAGGAACTGACATAACTTCAGATCATCAGTTGATTGTGGCCAAGGTGAAATTACATCTGAAGAAGCACTGGACAACTGGAGAAACAGCACTACAAAACTTTAATACAACCTTCCTTCGAGATTCTGACAAACTCTACGAATTCATGATAGGCCTCATCAGCGGGTTCCAAGCCTTACGAAATCTACTCAAAGAGAGGGAAACAACGATGGAGAACTAGGAAGGGATTAAAACACGCCAACTTCAACGTGCCACAAGTTGACAGGCCGCAAGAAGCACCATCATAAAAAGTGAAACTCTATCGATATCCTGGACAAGGTTCAAAAAAGGAAAAACAAGAAGACGGCAATCAGCAACAGCAAAGTCGTGCATGATTTACCTGATAAGACCGTCAACATAATCTGGAATCCGTACGACGGACTACACTGCAAATTCGTGCATGAAGGACAGCTGACAGATGCGATCCAAATAAAGATCGGTGTTAGACAAGGCTGTTTACTAACTCCCTTTTTGTTTCTTTGGTTTGTGAAGACTAGATCATGAAGGCTTTCACATCTCAGAGGAAGAACAGAATACAATGGGCAGAATGGATACGGCTAGGTGATTTGGACTTTACAGATAACCTAGCTCTTCTATCAAATACACACCAGCAAATGCAGGCGATGACAGTCAGTCAGTGTAGCAGCAATCTTGACAGCAGAAGGCCTCGAAATACACAAGGAAAAAGAACGATCCTGAAGTGCGATACAGAGAGCACCAACCCAACCACACTTGATGGAGAAACTCTGGAAAAGGTGGAATGTCTTACGTACCTGGGCAACATAATCGTTAAACAAGAATGATCTGACGCACATGTGAAGACATTTGAAAAATGTCTGAGATTCAAAACAACTTTCAGTCAACATCAAAGTCAGAATCTTCAATGCGAACGTCAAGACAGTCCTACTGCATGCAGCTGAAACTTGGACAACTACTACAACCATCATCAGAAAGGTACAAATATTTATAAACAATTGTCTACGCAAGATAATCGATGTCCGTTGGATGGATACCATCAGCAACAGCCCACTGTGGGAGAGAATAAATCAGTATTTACTTGAAGAGTAAATTAGGAAAAGACGAGGGAAGTGGATAAGGCACACACTAAGGAAATCATGGGACTGCTTCACGAGGCAACCCCCAAACCGGAATGCTGAAGCGAAAAGAGATAGAGGCAGAACAAATAACGCATTGAGTTTGGAGTAACCGGAGTAATTAATACTACACTGGGACTTAGAATTTCAATAAAAAAGATGCAGCGACGATGCTTTCTATAAATGGCAAAATATTAATTTCCCTAGTACTGATATTATTATGAGCTGAGATGTATATGAAGGGTATATTCTTTACACAACTGAGATTACTATGAAACCGGATTGATGTTTTTGAGATTGTTTGGGGAAATTATCAGCATATATCGTGAGAAAAAACTAGAAAGTGACAACTCAATGTCTGATAAAATTGACGAGGAAAAGATATGACAACTAATGAAAACTCATACCTCCAGCGAAAACAACCCTTTATTCGGCAAATAACCTTTGTCGTCTTGATTTCATTAATTCACTATAATCGCTAATTTCTATTTCAAACAAGCTGTGACTATCAAAAGTCTCTACCTGAACATATACACACATTCCTATTGACACATGTTAATTAGGATATTTGTGCGGTTTTGACGACTGAACATCTCAGCCAAAAGGTTCCAGGTTCAAACCCATACTTCACCTACTTCACTTTGGGCGACCAGGTAGTATCATTAGATATCAGAATCAAAGTGCGGCTCATACCCAAGTATCCGGTGAATGAGTTAATTATATTTATGTCAAAATCTTGTGACAATAATTGGCCTTGTTGAAGATGAAATTCGAGTGACACTGTGTAGGGCAGACATGATATCTAGTTAATGAAAGTAAAATGTATGAGACATTTCCAGAACCTGGTACTCAGAACAATGACTCACTACGTTATGAGACTTAATTTAAGGTCTTCGTATTAAACAAGCACATTATCCAGATGTAGAAATTATTCGAAATAAAAAGCGAACGCTATGATGAATCAAACTTGTCTTTATCTACACTTAAACGAATGCCAGATCGAAATGATGCACCCTAGAACCAAAAATCATGCGCTTATTAGTTAAGTAAAATTCCACCACATGATTACCAAAATACTCAACAAATATAATGGTAAAACAGCATGATTTTAAGAATGCTAATTAGAAAAAGAAAAGCGCCTGAGGCATTGTTACAAAAAATAACTGCTCAAGCAACAGACAAAAATCCCAACAGACTAGCTAGTGGTGTGGATGAGTACCACAAGACAAACGACTTCCTAGTTAGGAGACAAAAGAGAGCACAGGTTAGCTCTAACTTGTCTGGATGGAAAACTGTGTTTAGCGGAGTGAATAAGGGTATGATTTTGCGAATGTTAGAACACCGCCATACTTTTCAAAGGCCAACAATCGTAGTGTTTCTTGACATCAGGGCTGCCTTCGATTCGTTGGATAGGACTGTTCTATGGGATTGTCTATTGAAGAAAAGTGTGCCTGAGAAGTTGATTAACATCCTAAAGGCCTTATATACAAACACCTCAGGCGGAGTGAGGGCATACAATCACCTTTCTCCATTGTTCCATTCGAGCAGTGGGGTTAGGCAGGGTTGCCCAATCTCACCATTCCTCTTCAACTTTGCCGTCGATGACATTCTGGAAACAGCTCTGATGAATGTAAGTAATGGTGGTGTGGATCTGTTGCCTGGAGAAAGACTTCTCGACCTTGAGTATGCGGACGATATTGTCTTACTGTGCGATAATGCCCAAGGCATGCAATCCGCACTTAATCAGTTGGCAATCAATGTCCGTAGGTATGGTATGTGCTTTGCACCTTCGAAGTGCAAAGTACTTCTACAAGACTGGCAGGATTCCAATCCTGTACTCACCCTGGATGGTGAGCAGATAGACGTAGTCGAGAAGTTCGTGTATCTGGGTAGCTGCATAAGTGCTGGTGGGGGTGTGAGTGATGAGATCAATGCACGTATAGTGAAAGCCAGAGCGGCTTATGCCAATCTGGGCCACCTTTGGCGCCTTCGTGATGTTAGTCTGGCTGTAAAAGGTCGGATCTACAACGCGTCGGTGAGAGCAGTTTTGCTCTATGCTTGTGAAACCTGGCCTCTCCGAGTTGAGGACGTTAGACGACTCTCTGTGTTCGATCATCGCTGTCTCCGAAGGATTGCTGACATTCAGTGGCAACACCAAGTCAGTAATGCAGAGGTTCGGCATCGTGTGTTCGGGCACAGAGATGATAACTCAATTGGTGTCACCATCTTGAAACACCGACTTCGGTGGATTGGACATGTTCTCCGAATGTCGTCCCAGAGAATTCCACGTCGTGCATTATTTGCCGACTCTGGGACTGGTTGGAAGAAGCGGAGAGGTGGTCAGTGCATGACATGGTGTCGTGGTATGAAAGAAATCTGCAAAGGACTGGCTTGTGTTGGTCCTTCACGACTCCCTGGTTGGGGTCTGAGAGATGGTGCTACACAGTGGCTAGAGACGTTATCAGATATGGCTCAGAATAGAAGCCAGTGGCGATCCTGCTGTAACCTTCTTTTACTTTCTTCATAAAAAGTGGTTGTATCTTCCTTAACTGAAAGATTTCTTCTGATTGTACCTCTTCGTCATTACTCTCTCTTTCTTTTGCGTTCCTTAGTTTTTTTTTCTTCTTTTTTTTTCTTTCTACTTCTCTTCGAATTCCCATTGTTTTGTGTGGCGCATATATATTGGCGCTCTCTTGTACCAATATTTATGTGTTCAAATAAATAATAAATAAATAAAATGATTTTGCGAACCAATGTTATTCTTCTTTCATACACATAGTTCCCTTTATTATTTTAAAGAGAGTAAGAACCTTTGTTGTTGTTCTTCTAGTATAAATGACCTTCCTAGTCTCTTATCATCACCGGTTTTGTTATCTGCTGATGATATCAAGACATGGAGAGTGACAAAAAATAAAGAAAGATTAGAGCTTCATAATGACTTGAAGTTATTTGAGTGGTTTAGAATTTGACAATGGCCAATAAATACTTCCAAATGCATTATGATGCATATTGCTCACCGAGGTACAGATAAATACACGGTGAATAACACTGAACTATCCGTTGTCCAGACAAATACTGGTCTAGGAGTGATTATTAGCCAAGAATTGAAGACTACTGCACATGGCTGTGCGTTGACTACCAAAGATTTAAAAACCATCTGGTCAGTACGTACGGCTCCTAGCTACGTAGCTGACAAAACTCTACTAACTTTTAGTACAGTATTTGTTCTCCCTATACGCGAGTATCGCATACGGGCAGCCAGCCAATGTCAAAATATGCAGTGAGTTGTTGGAAAAGGTTCAAGAAACAGCAACTAAGTTGATTTTCGGAATAATAAAGCTGCCGTATGACAAGATTGGTCAAACTAAATTTATTTCGCTTATCATTTTATAGAAGGACCAGAGCCGATCTGATCACAGTTTTTAGATTACTTGATGATAAATTCGCACCTGACATATATCAAGTATGCACCTTATTTTTATGAGGTCACTCTAGGAATGTTTAAAAGTCGTCCAGAAATGATAGTCTGACCTGAATTACTAGTCAGCTGACCATCGACTTTTCTGTCAAATTACCAACGAATGAAACTCGTTATCCCAACAAGTGAATGAAGTTGCATCTGCTGACGCACTCAAAAGAAATTTAGATAGACTGAGAGATCATCATTCCCAAAAATAGAGCAGTCCACCCATCCTCTTGTGTTTCGTAAAACGAAATATGAGTTTACACATGTCAGCTAATGAACTCGCTATTTAAATTAGAAGATATAGAAGAGTTTGAACCCACTGTCGGTACCTATATCAAAGTTACAGTTCACCATATTACGAACCTGCTCCAACTTCAGATTTTCTATATCAAACGGGCTACGACTACTGCATAAAACCACCAACAAAGAGATAAACCGCAACTTTAGTAGTGTCCAGAAGTGGTACCAATAATTATAACGTGAAATAAACAGGAAATTCTACGGTAAGGACAAGAAATCAAGCAGCAACCAGTTTGAGGTGAAAAATTGGTGCAGTTTGAATGAAAAAATTACAAGCGATGCAATTACAGAAACAGTTATGTTGCTTACTCATATCGCCTATTAATAGTAACTTTAAATGTATATCAGAAGTCTCCGACTGGTCCATCTGAGGCACAAACATCACACTTGGCGCTCCATTTTGTAGGTCAATAATACTAAACGGTTCAAATCGTTCAAATGGCTGTGGACGGAATAGAAGAAGCTTTCGCTTAACGGTCTTCCACGTCTGGTAGCAGTTGATCATCAATACCTCTAGGCAGAAACCTAGGTATATTAACGATAATAGATGGATAAAAGAAATTGGTAAATCATAATAAGATGTTATCCTTAGTCCTTAAGAATAGGTCAAGTTGCCTCTTAAATAACTCCTGGTAAGTCGCTTGGACTAGCTCAGTCGGCAGCGAACTCCAGCATTTGACAACTCTTAAGGAGTAGAAGTCGTGTCTACGGTCCGTTCTGCTATGTTGTGTCTCCAGTTTTTGGGTGTTACCTAAGTGTTAAGGATACTATAAGCCGTCAGAAGGTCACCTCTAAGACGTCTATACTGTAATGAGTAGAGGTTAAGTGATTGGCGGTGCTCTTCATAAGGTGATTTGGTGCATACCCTCGTCATTTCCTTGGGAGACCTACAGACCCGGGTCCTCTCATAGCTTATTCTAACCACCATGGGTTGTTACGCCAGCTGATGGATGGACACGCGTTACACATCCTAACCGTACCTGCGTCTATTCTTATAGCTTCTAATTCAAATGCCATATGACAAGCAAGCAATGCCCCTACCCGCACTAATGGAACACTAGTAACTCAAATGCACCCCGTATGGTACCTTACACTGGTTTACGCACTCGCTTAGCTCTTTAGTGAAAATCCCATGAACCCCCCACCTCCATCAAAACAAATAAGTCTGTATTTGCAGCATATAGCAATTTTATTATTCAAAAGTAAGATATAAGTTCGAATTGGAGTAAAATGGCAGTATACAACAGATGCACGTGGTACATGTCTTCATCGATTAACTGAAATAGAGAATATGGATATTAGATTAACAGCCTTATTTAGAAAGACTAGTGTCTAATTTGAACTTACTGCGTGAGAAAGTTATACTGGAACCACGAATGTTGTAGAAATACAATTTCTCGGGGCGTACGAAGCACTCAGACTGTAAGACAGTTGTCCAAATATAATTCGAATATGGAGGTGAAAATTTGCAGGTACTTTTCATCGTGAAGGTGAACATATTGGGTACCAGTTGACATCATACCGTAAAAAAACACAAATTTGCGAGTGGTGAAATATGATCTATGAAAAAGTGAGCTTAATAACAGCTAATTACCTTTTTACTCCCTGATCATGACCCTTCGGCTTCCTTTTGTGGCCAAAACAGCAAACATACACTAGGCACTGGTAGCAGATTTCCGGCTTTTCAATGTTAAGCTTGCTTTAACGCACTGAGTAATGAGTACAACCCCTCTATTACTGCTATATGGCATATTTTTCATAACAAACCCTCTGCAATAGATTGGTAGCATCTGTGACTTCATCTATAGTTGTCGGAAGTCTGGGTCCTTTCGAAATCAGTACCAATATACCCTACTGCTGGGCACTCTGTATTAGTTTGACTCGTTGGTGGGATAGTGTTGTCCATAGTACTGAAGAAAATTTAAAAAACCCAGACTGTTTCCTTTCATTTTGCCGATAACATCATAAAGGACAGTTAGGAACGAACATGCTAACAGTTAGAGTCACAGGAGGCAGCAACAATTATTTTAGCTAAATGAAAACGAACTTCGGCTTCGGATATCTAGAAAACAAGGTAAAACACAACCGATTGTCGATTGAAAACGTAAGGTCTTATGTTAGTACTAGCCAGCTTAGCTGAATAAATACAGTGACTTCATTAGCAGCAGGTAAAACCCAGAAAACAAAGCAAAATCAGGGAAAACTTTGCTCCAACGTTCAGAGTATTACACTAACTTCTGAATTTTAGCACACTGAAACATCAAATTCCGTAGCTACATAAAAGAAATAGCTGAAAGAAGCACAGAAAGAAGAAAGCCGACCGCCATTGCTTACGAAGATGGCGGATGTAATAATTCCCGCCTCATTCTGATTGGTTGCTAAGCTGAAGGGCACATTTACGAAATTGAGTTGCGTTTAATTGCAGCCGTTTCGAACATATTTCTGCGTTGGACAATTTGTCATCTAGTATTTTAAGATTTCTTAATAATGTATTTTAGAGAAACAAGTGAATAAAAATAAAATTTAAATGATTCGGACGGTTCTGGGTGGAATAGAGGACATTTTCTCTTAACAGGCCTTCATATCTAGTAGCAGTAGATCATCTATTACCCCAGGTAAGAATCTGGAAACATTTTATTATAAAAATGGAAACATTGGTAAATTTCATTGAAATGCTCTCCTGAGTCCTTGAGAAAATGTCACGTTTTATGTTTGTAGGACTCATGGGAAGTCACACGAACGAGATCGACCAGCAGCGAACTGTAGAATATGACTACTTTTAAGGAATAGGAGGTGTGTACTCAGTCCGTTCTGCTTTGATGTGTCTCCAGTGTCTGGGTGTTACCTTTAAGATTTATGTTAGAAGTGAGCATAGGTGGGTATTTATGGGGATGTTCAGGAGTGTTCATAGTGTTGTAGAATATTAAAAGGTCACCAATGAGATGCCTATATTGTGATGCGTATAGGTTCAATGGCTTGAGGTGCTGTTTACAAGGTTTGAATTTCAGTTCTCGAACTAACTTCGTAGCTCACCGTTGGATATGTGTCAGAGTATTCTGATTCCTTTGGAGTGAGGGAAGAAACACGATATTTGAAAGGTTTAAATGGGGTGAAATAAGACTTTGAAGATTAAGTGGAAAGTTCTTCTGTCAAACTGGCCAAACATGCGCCTTGACTTTACCAGTTTGAAGTTTTTTGTAGTCCATTTTTGACCCATTTAGCGTTAGACTTCGGATCATAGGGTACCGACACCATTAAATCTCTTTCAACTTGAGATAACTTTAAGCGACAGTCACCTTAGTTTGCGCGTGGTTTGCAATATGTCTTAGATAGACCACTTTACTTCTTGTAGTGCTAAAAGTGAGTCAGTTGTTATCCACTCAACTTCGAAGTCATGTCAGATCCTTCTGAAGTACCGGCTTATCATCTCGGCTGAAAACGTTTTCCAAGGTTTCGCATCGTCAACGAAAACTTGTAGAATAGTTGTCTACTATGATATTAGTATTGCTCTAATAATAGACCTAATCCTAAATTTGTAGATTTGTCATGATATAACTGCCTAATCTATAAGATCTTACGTGGAAGTCACACCATCGACTACACCAACTCACAGTATCGTATCAATTACCAATACATGATGTAGAACAAGGTTAGGTTAGAGAAAGAACAATATATTTAATATGAATAGAAGATATAAGGTAACATTCAGCAGAGACCACGCCTGCATGGCTGAGCCATGCCACTCGATCCACTCCAGTCCATTCAATTCATTGTTCGCGCCTTCTCCATTGTTAGCTATTTATCCGCGTTAAATACTGAATATCTATTTTCTGAGTAGTCTCGTGTTCAGCTTTGTGGATTGTGCGGTTATTGTTCAATGCCACTACAAACTAACAAACCAAACAATTCTTGCTGAGAACGGTTATTTATATGAATTAAGAAAATAAGAAATCTTGTAGGACACTACGAATACATTCTGTAGTCTGTGAAAGTGAAGTTAACCATGACCTTAAAATGTCTATTATAGAGATAGGATGATGACGCGAGATAGTCCGTTAATAGTGATTTGCCTAAAAGTTTGAGCTTATTGATGGAAAATAAATGACAAAAGATTTTCAGAAGTAAAGGCATTTAACATCAACCTTGCCCTTACGATCAGGAATGCTTGTATATCTGTCCATTATGGTCTACTTCGTTATTAGTACTGTTCTAATAATAGACCTAATTCTAAAATTGAAATTACTATTGTAGACTTCAATGTACAAAATATCTCTAATGCAATTACTACATTAAAACACAGCTACAGTTATCGACTGTCTAACTCTAAGATGTCGTCCAAAACATCTGAATAAATACAAATATGTGTATGTTAACAATATCTACGTGACTCCAGATTGCACATCATCTGCACTATCTGTTTTTGCTGATGAATTCACTGAGTTCGCTGTTACTGCCTTCAGTGATTCACTTTCAGTTGTATGTGGTGATTTCAATTCATGTGACTGTAGCTTCCTTACGTCACTAGGTCACCAAAATGTAGTGGATTTTCCTACCCGTTCGGATGCTCATCTAGACTTCGTCTTCATTAATGATGTGGGTATATATGCGACTCGTAAACGTGCTCCATTGTCTAGCTCAGATCACTGTATAATTCGTGTTCTACATAACGTATATGGAAAGCATGGGAAGAGTACACTCTTACGTCAAACCAGGGAAGTCAAATATAGGAATTACTCAGAAGAAAATATCCGAAATCTGAAAAACATGTTTCATACGACACACTGGGAATTATTTACAGATGACTCACTCGAAAACACTACTGATGTTATCACTTGTTACCTTAAATTCTGTTTTGATATTTGTTGTCCCACTGAAACCATTTTTGTAAGTTTTGATCGACTTACATCTTCACAACTAAAACGACTACGAAGGATGAAAGAAAGAATGTACAAGGAGAAGAACTCTAATGAAGTTCGTAAACTAAATGGTCTGATAAACCTAGAGATTAGACGTCTCAACTGTATGTTTACTCAAAAGCTCTTATCATGCAAAAACTCTCCAAGTATGTGGAAATTCTTTAAATAACTTACAGATGACAGAAAGTTTAGAAGCGATAACCAGCTGAATGTTTGTGACTTAAATAAGTCTTTTGTACATCAGTCATCTGATGTGATGCTCCCTCTATCCACGGGTTTTAAAAATAGCTGTGTTCCTACTTTCACTGAAACTGATGTCGCTTAATTCATCTCGATGTTTGGGACCTGATGGTATCCCAAACATCCCTTTTAAAAAATGTGCTGACGTTCTGTGTCATCCGCATGATAATGTGTATACTGGCTTCTGATCATTTCCTTTGACTTATTTTCACTGCCAACTTAACTTCTAAGACCTAATAAACCATAGTGAATTTCTTATTATTTGTTTTAAATATTTTTTTGACTACATATAACGAAAAAAATAGTTGCTGGATATGACGACAAGTTGTTTTATAAATCAAATTTATTCTTGAGCAACCATATATTACCAAATAATCTGATCTTGAGAGACCATTTTATTTCACGCCAATTTACTTTGGAATGATGAAATTATTAATTGTTTACCAAATATACGAAGAAATGAATGTGTTGCATTAACATTTTTTCGAAACCCGCTGAATTTGGAACTCTCAAGGTTAATGGGTTCATGTTGATAATACTACATTATTAATCTCGATGGAGAGGCAGAGGTCTTTCGAAGTTCTTCATGTAGATGTAATGTATCTCATAGTTTTAAATATTTTATTTCAGGATGAAACATTTAACCTAGGTATGTTCAAGCAAAGATCAACATACAGAAGTTTATGGTTCGTACACTTTCTTATTACCTTTTGGTGCTTGGAAGTTTGTGTTTGAGTCTTTTTGTTTCTATTGCAGATTCTTTTGCCGACCTTGATTTTATCATTTGCCCAAGTCACCATCTTCTGGATAGTTATTTGTTAGACGTTAATGCAGCCCAACAGCTTAGCCTCGTTTAAAATCGTTGAAGAAGTCCATATTGTTTTTTAAATCGCCTGAACATTTTTAAAAACTATGGTCTATTTACACCATGGAATTCAACTATTAGAAAAAGGTTACGTAATGTCGATGACTTTTTTCCTACTCGTAATATGTTGACAATATGAGACCCGGCAACACACCGGTTCATGTCAAATGTGTTCACAGTGAATTCAGAAAACCTTATAATTGTAGTTCTGTTTACGTGAAAATTCTGTCGACTTTAAGTACCAAATATTCACAATGTGTTTAATTTTCTCCGCTGATCAATAAATCAGCTGTTTTATAAGACCAATTTATTGACGGCACTGTTACTGTTTTTTTCCCCATCAGATTTTTACAGCTGATATAGTGTGAAGGGTTACCACAGTCTTGGGGTCCTTTTATATCCAAGTGTGCAGTTTCGAACCAAGCAGATTTCGTCACATCCAGCATCCAAGTAAAAGAAGAATGCTTCATTAGCTTTAAATACTGTGAAAAATTAGGAATGTGGTTGTGTGCACTTTCAAAAATTCGTTTAGTGTTTATTTGTATAATAACTGTTGCACAAATAATTTGTTTACAGTACATGAGTATTTTTTTAGGTTTTGATAAGTAGTAATGATCAATGACTTCCCGACATCTTAGCTCCTATTTATGTTGATATCTCAAAGGGAGTTTATCTACGCAAACATATTTTTTGACTGTTGCTAATGAATTCGTCACCCACAATCACTGTACTAATCTTTTATGCCTTCCTGGAGTCCTTTATATATACCCCAAGAAATGAATGTCTATTATTCATCTGGTCCTCAAAATTCCAAGCGTTGCGCCTTCAGTCCTGCTCGTAAATGCTTAACCTCTGGACCACTGAATCGAAATCCAACGGTGTTAATGTATAATGTCAATCAATCTACGATACGGCGCAACCATCTTTGATTATCTGATGGGTAACGGCTACACACTCAACTCGGTTGAACTCCACTGGTCAAGGTTTCTCACTAGAACTTCGAGAATTCCCTCTCGAAGCTAGCCACTAGTGAGCACATGATAATTATCAATATATGGTTGTAGAAATTATTGACTTTCATTGTTCGGTTCACGATCCCAATGAAAATTAACAATCTTAGCAACCATATACTGATGATTCATGAAAGTTTTAAACCCCAGGTAGACACGACAAACGTTGTGGATAACTGTACTTTGAACTGTGGTTCGTCCGAATTCCCTGAAGTGTGAAATCGGTATCTGCCTACTGTCCTGAGTTACTAAAGTTGTTTTGCGTGTCTTCTTTCAAGACCATTTAGAATCTTTAAAATCATAATAAAAAACAAACCTTGTCCGAAAATAAGTTTACACCAGTTAGCATTTCTGGGGGATCAGTTTTCGAACCCCACAATCAGTATGGACTGCGTTTAACGTACTGTAAATGCAGGAGTGAAATTGGAAATTCCTATATATCAAATAATTCGCGGACATCCTTTGATTCTCAATATTAGGCAGCATATGATGTGAAGCAATAAAGTAACGGTATGATCTATCATTCAACTTAAAAGCCATGAAAATAAGTTGACGAGAATAAGAAAAATGATACCAAGTGATGGTATCAGAAACAATAGTACCAGAATTGTAAAAAGGTTAACGGGGACGTAGTCAGACTTCCAGCAGGTACCTCAAAAGGGACGATACTTGTGTATTAATTTTTTTCCAAAAACGGCTGATATAGATAGATCTTGTTAATATCTGTTGTGCTGATTTCAGATGTTACCAGATCAAGTTGCTGTCTTGATCCTCACAGTTGGTACTTGCTAGAAATGGATGATTATCGAAACATTGTTTCTGAAATGTAAAGCTATAGCCTAATTGTCAAAGTACTCGGCTTAAAACCACTAAGTTGTAAGTTTGAACCCCACATGAACTAACACGATTTTTGGCAGCCAGGTTGTATTTTTGTTCGATAACTAATTTATGTCCCAAATACAGATATCTGTACTTGGTAAATAAGTTTCACTTCTCAGTGGTTCCTAGAACGTCAAAATACTTTTATAAGTTTTCCTATGACTTGATCTGTTTCATCGCTTATCAGATCCTCCTCCTAACTACAGGCAAAGGTTTGACATATTTTGGTAGTTCCTCATAGATCATATCCTCAGTCAGGGGGATAGTAATTGACAGACAAGCAACAACTCGTAATATCAATCTTTCTGAGTTCTCACAGTTTCATTCATTTAGATAGTGTGAATGCATGTACTGCTTTCAACTTAATCCTATACTTTCACGCGTGAAACCACGAAAATTCGCTGTTGAATCTCTAGACACCTACCAGGTACAGTGGCATGCTTCCACACGTTGGTGAAATAAAGTCAAGTAATGACACGAGTTCTAGGTATAGAATTCAGAAAGACAATTTTATTTAGTAGAATTTTAAATTTACTGATTAATGATATCTGTTATCCCATAGTTCTAGCATTAAGGTTTCCGACAAGTAGTTTGACTTACTGTGTCATGACACTACGTTTGGTACTACGTAATCTCAGTCTCATATCCGAATGAAGCTAGTGGGGGGTTGGTAAGGTGTCTATGATAAGATAAAGGGGATTAATGTTGAACCGGATAAGCCTAAGACCTGCATATGGTTTGTAGAGGATGGGCACTTTATCCCTCCCTAAACAGTAGAGGGGCTATGGCTTGGTGCCCATCACTAGTTACTCATTGTCCATTTAAACACCATTCTGACGGTAGTTCTTTATACTATTAATCATTGGTTACTGGTGGAATCCCTATTGCGTAAACATGAAAGTATTAATTCGCCAGTAAATTCTCACTAGAAATATGTACATCGTTTGTTATATTTTAGAGAATGATAGTCTTGTCGAAAGTGTCTACTTGGTTTCTGAGCAAGCTGTTTCTGATGAATCACCTTCTTACACTGAGGTTTCGGAGTCTGACAAGTCAGAAAATTCTCTATCCACATCGACGTTCGATTTCGTCAAACTGGACTGCGACCAAAACCATGCGTAAGTCACATTTCCCCACTGTTTATAAACAGTATTATGATTAGCGTGCTTGTGCTTGAGGTGTCGATTTCAAAGTTTTCCTTGACTTTATTTTATGTAGTCACTGAACATGTAGACTTCAATTTGTGGAAGGAATCCAATGATAACCTATAATCTACTTTATCTATTTAAATGGATAGGGTTAATTTGAGTCACGGATCTTGTCGTGTATAAAAGAAATACTTGGGTCACTTTGAAGACAGCTTATGAGAGCATGAACTATAATCACTCTTTGTTAAGTGTTGAATTTGTTCATAAATCTTGGATACTTTACGCTAGTCAATAGGAAATAGATGGTTACCATTCAGTTTAGACCATGTACATGACAGAGCTACTAAATCCTGTGTTGAATAACCTAATTATTTGTTTGATTTGTTTGCAGAGTATATTTTGTAAAACTTTAGGTTACAAATCCCAGTGATGATTTGGATGAAACAACCTCGTTCATTTGATAACTAAGTCATAATTTCCCTTCATTTTCAAATTTATTTCAAAGACAGTGTCATTTAAAGTAACTTCGGATGGTTAAGAGATCAGGATGATCAAACTAAAATTTGCTGAGAAGTACTAAGACATTTAACAACTGAAACGAATCATTCTCTGGACTGTAGACTATTAGAAATGTTTTCTAAAATTCTCTTATTGTCTCATTTGAAAACCATATCTTTCATTTCTTTTTGTGAATGATATTAAAATGTATAGTGGCCTCAGTAAATGTGTGGTTATTCTGCACTTTTCCTTAACTGAATTAAGTTCAGTAATGTATCTGTATTTTTACGTAAACTGGTTCAAACATTATAGAAATCGTTGTGTTTATAAATATCGTTGATTGAGTGCAATTAACCAAATTTGAAGTTCAAAATGATTTTCTGTAGAAACCAAAATACTCATAATGTTGCTTACATTTAGTAATTAATTCATGTTTATGTGGCTGATATCTATTATTTAATTAGGTAAAATGAAATGTCATAAGCAAATACTATAAAACCTTTAATGTCGCCTTTACTTTGAAACCAATTTGCAGTGCCATTACACAACCCTCCCCATCTTGTAACTTGGACCAGTTACATTGTCTAAGCATACCTGATGAGAAAGAGCCAACTATTGTATATGAACAATCATGTATCCAATCGTCAACGTACTCTGAAATAAATGCCTCTGATCGGATACATTTTTACTGTAAGTAACTGTTTGACTATTCATGAAATAACAACAGTAAAAACTTACAAATAGAAAAATGTGACAGTTATTTTAACTACTTAGTTTACCTTCAGTACTTTGTGGCGATCAATATAGTTTAAAGATATTTTTCATCTTGAACTGAAAATAGCCACTGCAAACTATGTAACGCTGAACAGCTTTTGCATACTAGTTGGAAAGTTATTCCTGATATTAATTTCTCATCTTTCAAAGCAGACTTATCTACTATCAAGTAAATTCAGTTTCGTGAACAAAAGTGACTACTATTTTTTGACCATACTTCATGAACTTTAAAAGCTGGTTTACAAAGAAAAATATCTCGTTATTCTTGCGATTTTCTTCATATCATCCGCTGGCGTTTTAATCTTACAAATATAACCAAACAATTCAACGACCATTTCGTCTTACAAATGCTTTTATAGCACGTAATGTTTTGTAATTTATTCTGTTCTGTGCCTCGTACTTAGTTTGACGTATGATATTAATCAGTTTACCTTTAGATACTAACTGTTTCGCCTATCCTAACTCTAAAGAAAACAAAAAACTTACGGTCCTATGGCACAAATTTATGCACTTGATAATACACTATGCTTTTCGCGTCGCTGGTATCATTTGACTGTTAGGTCTGTAGTTATTTTCACCTGGAATTCCTTCTTGGTTTTCCAACGTATATATATATATATATATATATATATTTGCAGGTCGAAGTCATATAACTATGAGATTATGGTTTTATTCAATGTTTTAAAATTTTCATTAATGCCTTTCATTTAGTAAAATTACTACACTTAACATTTTCCTACCTTTTCCTGCCTCTTAGTCCGTGATTTTCTTTTGGGAGGCATAATTTTCAGTTTGCTTTTAGGTAAGTCACTTGTGTGGTAGAAACGAACTGTTTTTTTGTCGAATGCTTTTTGTAAGTACATCTGTAAGTATACGAAAATAATTAGAGTGGCTATGACTTTCATCTCTCAATTTTATTATCAGATAAACCAATGGAAGTTAACATCAGTAAATACGGTCAACCCACTGATTACTGTTTTCACTTTCCGACTTGTTGGATAGTTTTACTACGCCATATTATTAAAACAGTGCTTGGTTGTCTTTTTCTCCGATTAGAAGTTAATTCGTTGTAATCGTCTTTAAATATATCAATTTGCTGTTTTTGTCTTTCAGAGTTGTTCTATGATGTGGGAATGACTTACCAATTCAACCAATGCCACTGACATTGAATTATGTTTTTTAACTGCAGATTTAATATCTACAAGATAGATAAATTTTTCTACAAATTGTATCTACTAGCCTAGCAATCTATCAATATAAAAAACATTACTCCATTGTAATAATAATTTTATGTAAATCAGTTTACTCATTGGTGCTGACCTCAATGACGAGTAAAAAAATCGGAAAAGCAGATTGGTTCAAAAATTCCTTGATGACTAGAGTCAACAGTGCACAAGCTAATAAAAAACTAAAAATACAGTTTTTGAATAGGTGATACTCGACCATTATGTACATTTACTAAGGTAAATGTTTCGTTGACGGCAATATTTTTTTCAAAAGGTAACTGATAAAACTAGACCAATCAACAATAGAATATCAAAAGACGATTCAGTTGATCTTCGTCTGTCTATCATTTCGTTAGATTTTGAATAAAACAATAACCCTTGATATTTAACTACTGTTGTAAAAAGCTGTTTTCTTGATATCATTCATGTATATAGAGATAAATTGATCTAGAACTTCAACCTACGTTCATCCAACCTTCTTATCGTTATGACATACGGCTCACTATTTTTCTTTCTAACAAAAAATAAACAGCAATATTATTTTGATTGTAATGAATTCAAATCAAAATATAAGTTGATTACCACTAGTCGTATATTGAAGTATAATTATGTAATATACAGTTGTATTTTGACTGATAACCGATTAAATTCCTCACTAATAAACAGTCTTTTGTTTCTTTTTCGCAAATATCATATATATATATCAGGTCACATGCTGTATTCTGAACAATGTTATAAAAGTAAGCAAAAATTCTGTTTACTTTTCTTTGTGTATGACATTTTCTACCAGCTTTTGCATTTTCTTTACTTATTTTACTCTTAAATTGTTTATAAATGATTATATATATACTTCATACGAAAACAGCAGTAGTAGTGTACCAAACGATTAAAAAATTACCCTTTTACGTTTTATCACTATAGGTTAAGAAAAAAAATTACAATAGTTATCTGTCAATTGCACAAGGAAAGTAAAACATAACCAAATGGACAAATTCATATGTCTACATATTCTTTTCTTGCTGTTATATTCCAATATAAAGACTTATTAAGTTCATATAAAATAACAATTAAGTCATTCTAAATCTAAACGACTATAAGTTTCTAACTGTTCTTCAATTTTAACACTATGAATTGCACCATTTTCTTATTGAGTTGTTGATTTATCAGTAAATTATTTGGTGGTAGTATTTTCAATAGCCGTGAGGTTAATCAACTGTTTTTAATGAAATAAAATAATGCAAGCTAAATTTATTCCTTTAGATTAGCTTGAACTAAATAAGTAGTTCACTTAACACACTGTCCGCCCCCAAATGCCCTGATATGGCCGAGAGCGGGGTGGGTCTGCCGTTCCTCTCGAAATACTCTCACACGGCTACGCGTATACAGCCTCTGCCAGGGAAGTCCTACTCACTGCCTTCTCGTGGCATTACTGTTGTTTACGAAAATGAGAGGACGAAAAGCGAATGTCCGGCGCTTTAACCGGATCCCAAACCAATGGTGCACATGGGCTCCAGGATCCTGGGGGAAAAATGGCGTATGGACCAATTTCCGGTCACCGGCTACCATGGGACTGCATCTCCTTACGATGCTCCACTGCCCTGTGGGTTAGACCTTTAGGTCAAAGGCTCGGAGTATGGTCCCCTAAGATAACCACCTGCTTCAATCTGGGCACCCGGGCAGTATCACAGCTCTCACGCAAATGATAAACTCTCTATATCTATGGAAACTACTTTTCTCGCTTCGAATAACAATCAAATTGCAATCATTACTATTATTATTATTATATTATTATTATTATTATTATTATTATTATTATTATTATTATTATTATTATTATTATTATTATTATTATTATTATTATTTACTACGACATTATTCACCCTCTTTTATTCCTACTCTGTCTATACTTATCTTTTCACCTTATACAGCAGCTCGTCTTTGGTGGAAATTCGACTCTATCTAAACGTTCTCGAGTCACTGTCCGGTTGAAAATTGTATGTTACCACCGAATACGAGAACTAAAGCAGTTTTTCTGAAACCACGTGCACCATTTAAACTGGCTGCCTTCAACGTTCGCACACTTATGCAGGTTGGACAACAGATAGGGCTGGCTATGTATTTAGAAAGTCTTAATATCGATGTTTGCTGTCTATCCGAGACCCGTATTCAAGACTCTGGTGAAGTACTACAAATTCGATCTCCATCTGTCGCTTCGAAAAGCTTGTTTTACGTGCGCTTATCCAGGGACCCTGTGGCATCTTCGTCTGATCTTGCTGGCGTTGGTGTCACACTAAGCGCTAGAGCTGAGGCAGCACTAATCGATTGGATCCCCATTAACAGTCGGTTATGTGCTGTTAGATTAGAAATTTCCATCAAAGTGAGAAGAAATCGGCGTGAGAAACGATGTCTTTTCGTCATCTCCGCCTATGCCCCGACAGATTGCAGCCCGGATGCAATCAAGGATGAGTTTTATCACCAGTTATCTGTTCTTCAGAAAGTGCGTTCGGCAGTTATTTTAGTACTAGCCGGGGACTTGAATGCTCAGGTCGGGCGTCTAGGCACAGAAGAGAGTCGTTCAGGTGGCCGATGGGGACTCGTTGGTCGCAGGACAGATAACGGGGACCGTCTACTGCAACTGTGCACAGACCACAACCTGTTTCTCACTAGCACTAACTTTCGGCATAGTCATCGCCAATGTACCACCTGGCGTCCTCCCTCTGCATCCCAAGCCTGGACTCAGATTGATCACATCGCGATCAGCTACCGCTGGCGTTGTTGTGTACAAGACTGCCACTCCTTTTGGAGTACCTATCTGAACTCTGACCATGCCTTGATCTGCGCCAATCTCACCCTACTTTTCGGTGGACATCGAAGTGACCGCCATCAACGGATTGGTATTAGCAAGCTGGTTGCAACTTCTGTTGCAAGTAAGTATGGAACTGAGCTAGCTTCTAGGCTAGCTATCACTCCACCGAAAAGTATAGATGAGCATTGGTTGCAATTGCATGACGCCATGAAAATGGCGGGAACAGTCATTTGTGGGTTCGCGAAACGTCCCGCTTTTAAGCACTGGGTTTTTTCCGGTTCCTTACAACTCATTGAAGCCCGTCGGTCTACTCCGGGTAACCGTGAGTTTGACCACAAACGAAGGATAATACGTAATGAAATTGGGCAAAGCTTGCGTAAGGACCGAGAAACCTGGTGGTCGGAGCGTGCTAATGGGCTGGAAGCAGCAGCTGCATCTGGCAAATACCGGAAGCTCTTCCAACTCATCCGAGCCACTGGCAGCAAGAAGTCTGGTGTGAGCGAAACAATCTGTGAGGATGACGGGATGCCAATCACTAACATCCATAGACGTCTTGGACGATAGGCAGAATTTTTCGAAGGGCAGTTCAACTGGCCTGCTGCTCCGGCAACATCGGTCAGACTGTCCTGCCCTCCATGACCGGTGACGACTGATCCACCAAATGAGGCCGAAGTCCGCAAGGAACTCCAACTCTTGAAGCGTTACAAATCACCTGGCCCAGATGACTTACCTCCGGCTCTTTTTAAAGATGGTGGTGACTTTTTGACTAAGGAATTGACGACGTTGTTTACAAAGGTTTGGGAACTAGAGAGTGTGCCAACGTCATGGAATGAGTCGATAGTTGTCCATATCTTTAAAAAGGGTTCACGTCGTTCCTGTAACAACTATCGGGGGATAAGTCTACTTCCGATTGCGTCCAAGGTATTGGCTTCTGTCATACTTCGTAGGTTGTTCAAAACCCGAGAAAGATTGACTCGCGAGGAGCAGGCTGGTTTTCGTTCAGGTCGAGGATGTATTGATCATATCTTCACCCTCCGCCAAATGTTAGAACACCGTCATACTTATCAAAGGCCAACAATCGTAGTGTTTCTTGACATCAGGGCTGCCTTCGATTCGTTGGATAGGACTGTTCTATGGGATTGTCTATTGAAGAAAAGTGTGCCTGAGAAGTTGATTAACATCCTAAAGGCCTTATATACAAACACCTCAGGCGGAGTGAGGGCATACAATCACCTTTCTCCATTGTTCCATTCGAGCAGTGGGGTTAGGCAGGGTTGCCCAATCTCACCATTCCTCTTCAACTTTGCCGTCGATGACATTCTGGAAACAGCTCTGATGAATGTAAGTAATGGTGGTGTGGATCTGTTGCCTGGAGAAAGGCTTCTCGATCTTGAGTATGCGGACGATATTGTCTTACTGTGCAATAATGCCCAAGGCATGCAATCCGCACTTAATCAGTTGGCAATCAGTGTCCGTAGGTATGGTATGTGCTTTGCACCTTCGAAGTGCAAATTACTTCTACAAGAATGGCAGGATTCTAATCCTGTACTCACCCTGGATGGTGAGCAGATAGAAGTAGTCGAGAAGTTCGTGTATCTGGGTAGCTGTATAAGTGCTGGTGGGGGTGTGAGTGATGAGATCAATGCACGAATAGTGAAAACCAGAGCGGCTTATGCCAATCTGGGCCATCTATGGCGCCTTCGTGATATTAGTCTGGCCGTAAAAGGTCGGATCTACAACGTGTCAGTGAGAGCAGTTTTACCCTATGCTTGAGGATGTTAGACGACTCACTATGTTTGATCATCGCTGTCTCCGAAGGATTGCTGACATCCAGTGGCAAGACCATGTTAGTAATGCAGAGGTTCGGCATCGTGTGTTCGAGCACAGAGATAATAATTCAATTGGTGTCACCATCTTGAAACACCGACTTCGGTGGATTGGACATGCTCTACGAATGTCGTCCCAGAGAATTCCACGTCGTGCATTATTTGCCGACTCTGGGACTGGTTGGAAGAAGCGGAGAGGTGGTCAGTGCATGTTATGGTGTCGTGGCATGAAAGAAAGCTGCAAGGGGCTGGTTTCTGTTGGTCCTTCACGACTCCTCGGCTGGGGTCCTATAGATAGTGCAACACAGTGGCTAGAGACGTTATCAGATATGGCTCAGAATAGAAGCCAGTGGCGATCCTGCTGTAACCTTCTTTTACTTTCTTCATAAAAAAGTGGTTGTGTCTCCCTTGCCTGAAAGATTTCTTCTGATTGTAGCTTTCCGTTCCCCCATTTTTACCATTATTATTATTACACCACCTTACATCAATCTCTTCGTTGTTATTCTCTCTTTTTTTCCTTCCTTTTAAGTTCTCATTGTTTTGTGTGGCACATATATATTTGGCGCATTCTTGTACCAATATTTATGTGTTCAAATAAATAAATAACACACTGTCCACGATCATCGGTACTAAAACACCTATTTCATTTACTTGTCCGTATTAACCTTAGTTTTTGGATAATTTTATAGAAATATTAAAAGAACAGTTATAATAATGGTAGTCTTATATTTAACAGTACAGAACTAATAGAAATTAATAACATATTACAGTGCTTCTGAATAATACTATTACTACTACGAATCTATTTCTTTAAGTCAATAATGTTTTCTGCCATTTATTCAACGGCTCAGTGATCAGTTCATATCACGATAGTAATAATACACCCTATGTGTTTTGAAATACTTTCATGCAAAATCAACAGGCTGTGCTAACCTTTCAATGACTCATTTAACCAGTTCATTCAGTTAATATTTGTCAGAATATTCCAATAATACAGTTATCATTCAAGGTAATAAAAAAGATAGTAATTATAGCCTTCTGTTTTGGTTATTGACGAGTAGTGTAGTTTACATTTATCCTCTTATTACAGAAACTTGGTGATAGTTCAAAGTTATTCATAACTGTATAGATAAATCAATTGTCTAGTTCTATTTTAATCTTGCTTTTCATGGATTTATTTCATTTTTCACTCGTACTCTTTTCAGTCATATTAACATCTTTCTATTTTTGTCGATTTTTCGTCTCTATTTCAAAGTCTGTCAATTTTAACCAAGGCACTTTTGTTTCATGATTTGTATGTTGTGTAGTCTAGTGTTTGTATCACTTCAACACATTTAATTTATCTCATTTAACGGCCAACGATTTAATCATTTCCCCCTTGATATTGTTGTTTTCTTTCAGATAGAATTGCTGGTTGTGAAATTGAACGTGACAAATTATCAACAAGTAAGTTAATATAAGTTTCATTTGTTTTGTTACATTTGCCATTAGTTTTTGCTTATTTTATCTTAATTAAAAGACGCTTCTAATCCAGTAAACAGTCTATTACACAGCAAATATTCGTTGTGTTCTACCGTACAGATTCAAGGTATTATCTTTAAAAATAAGGGATATATATAAGTTGTAGGTATTTGATTATAAAGCATTGCTTGTATGTGACTAAATTACTGAGTAATCAATGCCAAAGTTAAGTTAAGAACCGTTTTTAAAAACAAAGGTACTTTAATCACCGGTTTCCTTCTGGGCTTCAGAAGTTAAACTGTCGGTCATGGCCAACGTAGATCGCGGAATAAATGTGTTTTGACTGACGTTAGCATACCACATTAGTACGGTAAGATCAAAGTAACAAGATAAGAAGTGGAGAAATTTAATTAATAAGGTAGAAACGATGATGTGAAAGAATAAGCATTGAGAATATGATCCTGAAAGATGGTAAAAACGGATGTTTGAAAGAACACTCGAATTTAAGGTAAAGAGTGTATGCATCTGCGTCATTATGAATGATTCTCATCCAAACTGTGCAACTATTGATCACAATTATCGTGCAGACCCCATTCACGTAGTCTGGATCTACCAACATGGCTCAGGCCAACCGTCATAGGCCTCACGAGCTGATGCCACGTTTCGGTTTGGCCACTCCAAACTTTCTTCCGACCTACTTCCACAGCAACTAATATCGCACACGTAACACACGTCCAAAACACCTCAGTTGATGGAGATTAACAACCTCACCAACAGATATGCCATCTTTCCCTGGTACCTTATTTCTAACTTCGTCGCTCAGTTGGTTGTCCAACGTTAGATGGGCACTGCTTCGAAAATTTTAACACCTAGTATTTGATCGTATTGAAACATAAGCTTCCTTCAACCACTCATTCTATATTCTTGTTACATTTTTATTTAGCATATATATGTGAGAATTATATGATATCCTGTTTATGAATGGTAGCAGTCATTTAGCTTAATCTAATAATCATGATGTTCTAGAATGCTAAGTCCAACCCAAATGAGGGTATGCACACATAGATATATATCTAACTTTTTTCTTACAAGATTTTATACTTTTATTAGGGATGTTCAGAACCTACTATTTTATAACTTATCTTTTATATATATATATATATATATATATATATATATATATATATATATATATATATATATATATAGGATAAAGCAAATTTATTTATTTTAAATAGGCTAATAATTTCGTCCAAAATATACCCAAATGAAACAAATCATGATTGTATTCGACTATATATTACTTAATGCAAGCTATGTTTATCCTTCTGGAAAGAATCGATTACATAAACAGATAACCTCATTTTATTAAATATCTACACACGTGAACTTGAATTAATTACCAGATGTGCCTTAATTTAAAGACGAGTAATTTTACCGGTATATATTGTCGACCTTTCAAAGAAATTGTCTTTTATTATCACTGCCTTTCTTTTTTCGATCACTTTTGAATCTTATTTTACGTCCCATTTTCTAGACATTTCTTTTCTATCGACTGAAATTTTACAAAAAGATACAGCATATCGACATCTGGAAATTAAACATAAACACCTTAAAAATGTAACACATCAATTGCATTCAGGTAAGAAGTTTTGTTCTTTTATCATTTATATTGTGTTTGTCTGTTACTAAGAGGTAAATATCAATTTTTCTGTATCTGCTTAAACTGAACCTGGTGTTTTCTTCTGATGATAAATGCTAGTAAGAGAATCGAGATCATCTAGTTACTTTATACATCCGAGAATTTTTATCATATTCCATGGATTGTATGTATACAGTAATAATGAGTTCAAGTTAGTTATGGGGAATTAATTATTTAAAAACTAATGTCCATTAAAAATTGATTACTGCTAAAACTGCAGAGCAGGTAATGTCGAACTATATAAATAAGATATAAGTAACTGTTAGTTTATTATCACAGGTGTAATAGATAAATAGTTGTAAATTTCTAGAAAGGGACTTTCTTCATTCTTCAAGCTGTTGCTGTATGAATCATGATATAAGTGTTTTAGTAATTCACAATTTGACTAGTAATAAAACAAGATAGGACTTAATTATCGAATACTACTCTGGTTCCCTCAATATTATCCGAACCACAGTATATTATCTACTTATCAACCTTAATAGTATCATTAATTTCTAGATAAAAAATGTACATGAACAGTGAGAAACCACGTATGGTTGTGCTGACTAACCAGATCGAAGCAATCTTAAAATTGAACACCTCTTACTTGTTTAAGGCCAATCTTATCATTTATATACAGAGATTGATTTGTTTCATAGAGCTAAATCGTCCAAATCACTTCATTTGTCCTTAACTACATAAATGGACTGCTAATACAACTATCAAATCTATTGTATTTATATTTCTCTCTATTTAGTTTATTTCATAGTTCAACTTTAAAATTTATTCGATGATTACATTTTTAGCAACGATTGTTAAATTATATAATGCACTTTAAGTGTATAGCTTGTAGGACTTCATTTGCTAATTTGTTTATGTACACTGATATTGTATTCTCTGTATAATGATCTTCAGCTCATGAAGTATGTTCAAATTAACTCTTTATGTAACGAAAGAAATACAGAAGTTTATAATAAAAACTATATAAAAACTTATAACCCCCTCTGAATTGATCCATCAACTCCAATCGTTCTAACATGAATCAGTCATCATATTTAGACTATGCTCATACCGAGCATACTAGCTAGATCTTTATAAGTCTGCGATTCTAATATCTGGTTACGGACCAACAAAGTTAGTTACATTTTAGAAAACTCCTACTCACCATTTACAATTTGCTGTAGTTAGTTTATTTATTTTTATTCATGCAACTGCATGGTTAATGAGCTGCTCGTCAGGTTAGTTCTCATTTCTTCCAAAACTGAGTAGAAAGAAGAGATATAAGGAATGATATGCGAACAATAACAAATGAAAGAGAATTTAATACAAAATAATCAGCCTTTACAAGGTGTATACGAAAGAAAATCACAGTCAAACTTATATCAGTTTTGTTCATATCTATTAATAGCTTTGTGTTTAGAAGCAATTTGTTAGGAGTCGAATACTTAATTTCCATATCTGTTTACATTCATGTCCAAACCACCCCAGCAATATTCAAGTAGATTATGCTTCCTCAAAGATTCGAACCTGAATCACTCAGTGTTTCTTCCAGGAAACTCTTTAGTTTGTTTATTTGCTTATAATAACCTCATTTCCATTCATGGTGTATATGTGTTATTGTTTAAAAAAGTTTTATACAAATCAAAGATGCATAGCTTTTGTTCATAATTCCAGATATTTCTATACTAACAGCTGAATTACGTGACAAAGCCCTAGCTTACAATGAATTAAAATCAGACTACAAATATGTCAGTGATAAAATGAAAGAGTTAACCAATGGTAAATTAACTTTATTTTAATTTCCTCTATATAATTCCATTATTTTTTGATACCTTATTACTCTTTGTGTTGTACAACGTATTGAAAATGCCACAAAATAACGAACTATATATATCTTAACAGTAGAGCAGTGATTCAGTGAGTTATATAAGCAGACTGTTCATGTACTTGTTTTATCTAGCCCTCAAATGCCCTGGTACGGCCGAGGGTGGGGAGAGTCAGCTCTCCTTCTCCAAATGCTCTCACATGCTCACGCTTATACAGCCACTGTCCGGCTAGTTCTACTCACCGCCTTCTTGCGGCGGGGTTGTTGTTTACGAAATTGAGGGGACGAAAAGCGGATGTCTGGCGCTTTAACCGGGCTGGTGCACATGGACAGTCTACCTAGGGAAGTTGGAAAACCCTGATTACAAACTATTGACGCACATGATGTTACGTCCAAGTTTTTGCTCGTTCCCGTTATTGAAGTACGGTATATCGATCCATTTTGCAAATTACGAACCCAAATTAACAACAGAACCAAACTCCAATTCAGGTACCAAAGTTTATTCGCAATTTACAAATAGTCGACTCTAATGTCGTTCTCCAATTTTGTACGTTCCCCGAGCAAAAACTCCCAAATACCAAACCAAAGACAAAAGAAACCAAAATGTCCGAGAATAATGATATAAACAAACAAGTTCAGAAGTTGAGTAGAACAAATACATCCGAAAACAGTGAAACTAATATTTAATATAAAGGTTTTAATCAGCCAAATGTCTTCAGTTCTCCCGTAACACATGGGCTCCAGGATCCTGAAGGAAAAATGGCGTATAAACCAATCGTTGGTGATAGGCTACCATGGGACCGCATCTCCTGACGTTGCTCGATTGTCTTGTGGATCAAACCTTTAGATCGAACGCTCGGGGTGTGGCCCCCTATGCAAACCATCTGCTTCGGTCTGTGCACCTGTGGAGTATCCTAGCCCTCACATGAATCGAATGATTTATGTGGCGCATATGTATTCAATGCCCCTTTGTACTAATATTTATGTGTTCAAATAAATAAATAAGAAGTCAACCTTAAGCCAATCTTTCATAGCTCACCAACCACCTTAACTAATGAGTTTGTAGGTGTCATTACCAAGGTTTGATTTGATAATTTCGAATAAATTAAGCATTGGGTTGATTGTTATAAATAAAAATAATATATTTGTAATATCCCAATGAGTAGAAAATTGGATTTTCTGACGTTTCGTGGCTTAGTGTAAGTCACTTCTCTGAAGAAGTGACTTACACTAAGCCACGAAACGTCAAAAAATCCAATTTTCTACTCATTGGGATATTACAAATATATTATTTTTATTTATAACCACCTTAACTGTTTTATTCTGGCTTCATACTTATATTTAGTCCTTAAGTCATGATAAAACAGACTATTGGTCATAGTTTAATGTTAAAGAAGGTATAGAATTTATTAAGCTTTTTTTTCGAATTTGATATTTATCGAACATATTTCTAATAAATAATCGCTTGCCACTTAATCGTTTTCTAGGACTTTTGATGTATCTGAAAATCTATTGATCCTGAGATAAAATTGTAGGTATTTCATCGAAGACGTCAACAAATAAATCCATATTTAAATAAGAAAGATAGATTGGTTCAGCGAAGAGTTCTCTTTTCGGCGAATTCATTTTCAAAGCTGTACAATCGCAAATATATATACTTATTTTTACAGGGTGATAATAATACTGATAATAAACTTCTGTTATACATGGTGAGAGTGAGGTTAAATAAATACCTTTGTTTATTTAACCTCACTCTCACCATGTATAACAGAAGTTTATTATCAGTATTATTATCACCCTGTAAAAATAAGTATATATATTTGCGATTGTACAGCTTTGAAAATGAATTCGCCGAAAAGAGAACTCTTCGCTGAACCAATCTTTCTTTCTTATTTAATGTCATAATGGGTGTATTCCGTTTATTAAAAAATCCATATTTAACACTGAATATGGTCATCAGTACGACCTTGCTCGTCGATCGTGCCTAGAGTGTTTGGATGGTAGCTGAAGTTGAACTATGATTAAAGGTTTACATGTTTCAAATGTATTATGGGTTGAATAACTAAATTTTCAATATCATCTAACAATGAGGCTTAATTGCTCAATACTAACAGTTTTTTTCGCATTCATTAGCTACTCATTGTCTTTGTTTTCTAAAATTTAATTCATTTGTATCAGTCATGATTATGATGAAGATGGAAGTAATATGATATTTGCACGTATTTGTAACTTCAGTGAAACAATAAAATCCCTAAACTTTTTAGCTTAGCCTCCATGTATTTGGTCGCGTAATTGTATATTCCCTTGATGATAAAATGATACTTCAGTTTTGTAGAGATCACATCATTTTCTAAGGTGTTCATCGTAGATTTTTGCTCCATTGTAAACTATTTGTTTATAGGTATTTCCACAATTTCTTGTTGAATCCAATCGAAATTCTTTTTTGAATCTCTATTTTTCTTACATATTCTTCGGTATGTATTCAAGCCAATACGTGATCCTTGATTTATCACTTGACATGTCTTATAAAGTATACGGTTGACATAGGAGAAATACGTACAACTTTTTCAGTAACATGATATACTAGCCCTTTTATTCCGTAGAACTGCTTTGAGGCTAATTTCTCTCTATTTGGCTACAATATTTCATATCCCGTTAACGGAATATTTTAGCAGGCCAAATCTTCTAGTAGTATTATGAGTTTACTCGAAAATATTCAAAAGCCAGAAAACCGGTCTTTGGGACAGTGTATTAATGAAATAATCAATTAATGAAACCCGCAAGTACACGGGAAATCGATCGAGTTAAAAAATCCATATATATTTATGAGTGTTAATCGATTGTGGAGCTAAGTTATTGATCGTCTATGTAAACAACCAATGGGAGGATAGATAAAGAATGAAGTGCAGATATGCGTTCAATCAGACTCACACATACTTTTACATAGTGGGTTACTTGTCTCAATTACATCAGCTAGGTAATAAAAACTCCGAAGGGCTTGCTATAATGCCACCTATAACTTGCATCTATTTTTTTACTGCAAATTATTTTGCGTATGTTACATTTTTATCATTCTCTTAGACTATTTTTATCACTTTTAAATCCTGATCTTTCATCAGAAATGTGTCTGTGGCAGTCTAAACATTCAAGTACACAGAGCTGTTAAGATATTTTTGTTCAAAAGCAGATACCTTCCACCTATTATGACTTTGCTGAATGTATATTTTAATATTACTGTGTTTTCTGTCGGTTTCATCTTTTTGTATACTGCTGCGAAGCGGCAGCCCAGTGGTTAATGCGTCCCACTTTCGCCCACTAAATCTCAGATTCTTATCCCGCTCTACCTACTTCAGTATGATCAATCAGTATCGCTTGCCCTCACACTTAGAGTGTGGGTTAAAGTCTAGTAAACGAATCTGTAACTGGTAGATAAGTTGTAAGGTGTAATAACTTGAGGTAGCACACAATTTTAGCTAGGTTCTACACTTATCTATTCTTGCTACAAGCATTTCTACTAGGAAAAGTGCAATAGGACAACTTACGTCGTCATTTCGTTTTGCATTTACAGTGAGTCATCTTTCCTGTCTTTTCACTTTATTGTAAATGTTATTTACGCAATTTTAAAATTACTATTCATTAGTTATCCTTTCTGCTTTCTTTCTTAACCATCAAAATAACTCATCTCTTATTTTATTTTGCATAGAATTGCGAAAATTGAAATTTGCGCTTATGGATTTGAAACGCTCTTCGCTATTTTTTCCCGGTATCAGATTGATCAAAGATACCTTGTGTAAAATTTTAAGCGTTTGCCCTGATCTAGATGGAGAGTAGACAAATAAATGGACTAAAAGTGAGCCGTCTTCGGGACAGAATAAAGGATAATATATTTTTCTTTTCGCAGTTAATGTTTTCGTCATATTTCTTTATCTTGTTAAGTTTTATTTTGCGTAATTTTGGCGTTTCGTCTAAAATCTCTTTTATCTTACAGCTGCTAATGTAAACATTTATACCAAAAGATTATTTATAATTTATCTTCATTATATACTTCATTTTGAGAATTTTCCTTCAAGTCATTACGTCACAGTTTAAACAGTATCATATAAACTATAACGCAAATAGTCCGAAATAAATTCATACAAAAATAAAGTGAAGTCTCGATTTATTTGGTTCTTCTCCAATAAATAATGTACCATTATGGTTCTCTTGTTTACGACATATATTTCAATTATTTGGTTCTGATATAGTTTGATTTTAACCAATTTGCAGAAATTAGAGCCGTATCTATAAGACAAATCTTTATTATGAAGTGTCGGAACTTATTCGGAAATTCTTAAACAATTGTTTTCTGAAATTCGTTATTTGAAAATTTACCGAATACCTATTCTTTAGTTTGAAATCAGTGATAGGTAGTTAATTAGTTGAACGCTTTGAACACTTGATCTATCTCGGAAGTCGCATTAGTTTCGATAGTTGGGTGTCTAACGAGATCTTGCCATAGGTCCGAAATGCTCGTTTGGCTTTTGCGAAATCTTGTCACTTGTGGAGTAAGCGAGGCGCCCATTTGCCAATCAAAAGTCGATTATACTTAGCAGCGGTTTTCTCTCTATTAATCGATAGCTTTGAAACATGGTCTGTGAGAGTAGAAGACACGTATGCGCTGCAATATTTTTGGTTATATGTGTCTTCAAAGCATTGATCCGCGTATCATGGAACGACCAAGCGAAAAATGTTGGGGTTAGACATAGATTACTAGCCAAATACACCAAGAAGGTTTATGAGTTTAGCAATATTCATTAATTTGGACGGTTAAGACACGTGTTACGTATGGATAAACACAGCCTACTTCGGTGAGAGATGCTGACTACTGTAGAAGTACGTTGGAAGCTAGGAGAGGACAAACTAAAACGTGACATCAGTACATAAAGCTACCGCCTGTTAGTCTGAGCCACGACCGTTTTGCTACCTTGACGTGGTGGTCGGGCTTGCCTATCGTGATGAAGCAACCGAGCTATACTGGCTGGAACAACCGTTCCTCAAGGTCCTACCATGTCAGACAGGTCGGTTGAAGAGCGGTAAGACTGAAAGCAACAAACCCAAGGTCCGAAGGCGAAGTCGTATTGCTGACTGTACAGAGGTGTGACAGCAGTAAGGTGTTTCCTTCAGACAACCAGCATGACAGCGATGCTGCCTTCCCACAAGGAGGGGTGGGGTTAGAAAAGGTTGACCCTAAAAATGCACACCTCGCCTTATCCCACGGATATCCGTCTCCAACAATGTCTCAAAAAGTACGGAGCTAACACAAAAATTACCCATAAAAAGGCCGTGTGTGAGCGACCTCAAGCAGTTGTCCCTTGAGCACTGCGTCACGCTCCCAGGTCACTAAGACCACATCTAATCCAATTTCCTTTTCAGGTACCTCCAGAACAACCCTTCCACGGTGTGGGCAACCGGGAAGTGATAACCGCCCTCATACCTCTAACAGCACTCAAGACCACTGTATTCATAATCAACCTCCGTCTTCACTTCCTATTATTCCTCCTACATCGACTTTCACCTCTAAACTTCCTTTTTCGGATTCCCCCTCAAGTGTCACCATAGCCAACGATTCTAGTGCTCAAAACATTCTCCCAGTTCTACTGAAACCTCGCTCCAAATTACACGTTGGAGCCTTCAACGTACGCACCCTATGTCAAGTCGGTCAACAGGCTTCCTTGGCTAGAACCCTAGAATCTCGTACCATTGATGTATTCTGTGTCTCTGAAACACGCATACAGGATCCCAATGTGGTCATTCACTTGACCTCACCTCGGCAAAACGGAGAGCCAACGAGATACACCCTCTTTGTATCTGGTGACCCGACGGCCAGCCCTCGTGGACTGGCAGGAGCAGGGATAGCACTAAGCATGAGGGCCGAACAAGCACTGTTAGAGTGGATCCCCGTTAACAGTCGTTTATGTGCTGTTCGGCTAAACGGCTCCGTAAGATCTCGGAAGGATAGGGACACATGTCGTTGCCTTTTTGTCGTTTCTGCCTACGCTCCCACCAACTGCAGCTCAGATGAAATGAAAGATGAATTTTACAGAAAGCTATCTAAACTTCTGCAGAAAGCCAGACGTTCAGACATAGTACTCGTAGTAGGTGACTTTAATGCCCAGATAGGTAGCTTAAACCAAACAGAAAGGGATTTAGGTGGGCGTTTTAGTATTCCGGCTCAGCGAACAGATAATGGTGATCGTCTGCTGCAACTGTGCTCAGACAATCGTTTATTTTTAGAAAACACAAATTTTAAGCATAAGGAGAGACATCGTCTAACATGGCGACCCCCTACACCAAACCAACGATAGACTCAAATAGACCATATTGCCATCAGTCATCGTTGGAGAGGATCGGTAGAAGATTGTCGCTCATTCTGGAGTACCTGCTTGAACTCCGACCACGCCCTAATACGGGCACGCATCTGCTTGCGCCTCATTGGACGCAAAAAAGCCACAGTAAAAAGACCTATTATAACTGAATTGAGTAGCGAGAAAACCAAAAGTAGGTTCCAGGAACATCTGAGGTCACAATTAGGTAGTTCTGAAAACGAGACTGACCCAGATGTTGCTTGGAAAGCTATACAAACAGCTGTGGAGACAGCAGTGACATCTATCAGTGAATTAAACCACAAGGTTACAAAGAACCAATGGATTTCCTCTAGGTCTATTGCACTGATGGATTCTCGTAAACTCGTCCCATCAGGCTCTGAACACGATGAAGAGCGACAACAAATCAGATCTAGGTTAAGAAAAAGTCTAAGGAACGACCGTGAGCAGTGGTGGGCATCGAAAGCAAAAGAGATGGAAAAGGCGGCGGCTATAGGGAACACAAGACAGCTCTACAGACTAATAAAAGAAACTGGAATTAATAAGTCAAGTGTAAGTGAGATTATATCGGAAAAAGACGACACCCTCATCTGCTCCAAGTCCAGACGTTTAGAACGATGGGCGGAACACTTTAGGGAACAGTTCAGCTGACCTTCAGCTACTCTACAACTACCCTCCATTCCCAGACAGTGTGAATGGAACATTGAAGTAGGTCCCCCAACTCTAGCAAAGTTCAAAAGGCTATAGTTAATCTGAAACGAGGAAGGGCAGCTGGTCCAGATGGATTGGCTCCAGAGGTCTTTAACGATGGTGGTCCAATTTTAGCGATTAGGTTGAATAACATTTTAGCTAGGATCTGGGAGTTAGACGTTATCCCATCTAACTGGTCACAATCACTTATCGTCCCAATATATAAGTGAGGGTTTAAAACCATCCTGTGACAACCACAGAGGGATTAGTTCAACTAATATAGTATCTAAAATGCTAGCCTCGATAATTATCAGACGCCTAACTAAGACTCGTGAACTGCAAACACGAGATACTCAAGCTGGCTTCAGACCTGGTCGTGGCTGCAACGACCACATATTCACCATTCGTCAGATTCTAGAACACAGGCATACTTATCGGCGTCCGACGATGGTGGTCTTTCTCGACTTAAAAGCAGCATTTGACTCTGTAGACCGCGAGATTCTGTGGCAGTGTCTGTCATTGAAAGGCGTACCACAGAAGTACATAAACCTTATGAAGGCTCTTTACTCGAACACTACTAGTCGAGTCAGAGCTTATGGCGAACTGTCATCTACTTTTGCAACCTCAAGTGGTGTCCGTCAAGGCTGTCCCCTTTCTCCATTTCTGTTTAACTTCATCATAAACCTACTGATGGAAATAACATTCTCGTCGACTGAATTCTCGGGTATTGATCTCCTACCAGGAGGTCCACTTATCGACTTGAAATACGCAGATGACATAGTCCTGTTTGGTGAAGACGCTGATAGAATGCAGAGTCTTTTGGTAGCACCAAGCAACAATGCCAAAATATTTGGAATGCGCTTCTCTCCCTCTACATGCAAGTTGTTGCTTCAGGACTGGCCTACGTCAACATTTGAACTAAGAAAAGGGAGTGAAGTAGTCGAACGCGTTGACAACTTCACTTATCTTGGAAGTCTGATTAGCGCTAATGGGTTGGTGTCTGACGAAATCTCAGCACGGATTCGAAAAGCTCGCTTGGTTTTTGCCAACTTGAGTCACCTTTGGCGAAGGCGAGATATCCGTCTATCAATAAAAGGACGGGTATACTGCGCGGCAGTCCGTTCTGTTTTAATTTACGGCAGCGAAACATGGCCATTAAGAGTAGAAGACACTCGTAAGCTACTAGTATTTGACCACAGATGCCTTAGAAATATTGCTGGCATCTGCTGGGATCACCGGGTAAATAATAGTGAGGTTAGACGCAGGGTATTAGGGAATGATGGTAAATCAGTTGATGAGGTTATGAATCTTCATCGACTGAGATGGTTGGGCCACGTGTTACGTATGCCCGAACACCGATTACCACGGCGTGTAATGCTAACCGGTGTTCGGGATGGTTGGAAGAAAGTTAGGGGTGGCCAAACCAAAACGTGGCATCAGTGCTTGAAGTCACTAACTTCTAGTCTTAGCCATGTTGGTAGATGCAGCCTATTTGGTTGGGGTCCGCGTGGCTATCGTAACCAATGGTTGGTGACTCTTGGTGACATGGCTCAGAATCGATCACAGTGGCGTCAGTGTATACACTCCCTGTCTTCCCTTAAACCAAGAGATTAAAATCGCTTCATATCTTTCTTTCTATGAACTAATTCTTTCTTCCTGTACTATATCCTTATTGCAATCTTTCTTTTATATATTTCCACCTCTGAATTAACTACCTTTATGAATCCGGTGTCCATCTTGTTGTGTTGATGAGGAATGGCTACTTGGACCGATGCATTTATGTGTCTAGTCCTACGTTGTAGCTGATTGATTGGTTGGGGTGCGCACGATAAGTAGTTGGAAACGTTGGGTGACATTTCAAATCCGATCACAATGACACACACGCACTCTTTATCTTACTCTAGATCTTCAGTCTCAGTATTTCTTCACATATTGTACCTTTGCATTTTTTCAAACCTCATTCTGGCTATTCTGTAGTTACCCATAGTTCGTAATTATTTGTGTCTGATATATCTAGAAATCTTCAACTGTGCTCCACATATGCGACGTTTCGTGCAGCACGATATTGGCATTGTCTCTGCATAAATGTAAATCAGTCTGATTTACAAACTTAGGTTTTCTTAATATTTGTAATTTCAATCTACCTTTTTCATATTGAATTTTAAAGGTTACTAAGTGAGGAAAACTAACTTTCACACATGAAATCTTAGAGATTAAACGCTTTGTAAGTGACATTCATGCAACATTGTCCTAAATAGTTGCTATGATATCCGTTGACGGTATTCGGAACGATTACGAAGGGTGATAAAAACAATTCTACCAACCACTGAAGTGGTGAATAAATTTGAAATTAGTAAAAACTAAACGGTTTTCTCTAGCTTACCTGGGGAGTAAATATATTGGATCTTTGGATATCAGTACCATACATAATACATAAATCGATTTAAAACCTTTCGTTTGAAGTAATTAGTGTCTTAAAACATATACGATCATGGACAGGAAAGAGAGAAACGTATAGTTTCCGAACCAAATAAAATTCTTGTTTATATCCTCTTATTGATATAGCCGAATTTTTGATTACACCGCAACTAGTTGGGAGTTTTAAAGAACACTTCCTGAGAATAAGTGAGGTTCTTTTTTTGGTA